GACTATTTGTATGCAAACGAGATTAATTCCATTGATTAGTGCATTTGATTGTTTTCAAAGAAGTCTTGATAGGAATCATGAGAGTTTATAAAATCCCATGAAATCCACATACACGGATTTTCCATTGAAATAACAATCCATTAAGGCCACTCATGTTCTGCATATTGTTCCACTGTAGACAAGCAGACAACCAACCAACGCACACTGTACGCCTTTTTCCAAGGAAGCTGCTGGGACTGGGACTGGGGCTGGGTCTCGTCCTGCGGCTGTGCCTGGGCCTGGGTCTGGTCCTGGATTGGAGTGTTAGTGTTATTTACCAGGCTAAATTATTAAACGATTGTTAAACGAGCGGATAAAGGATGAGCGTGAATGATGATGATGATGCTGCCCGGGGAGGAGTGGCGTCAAGAGGGTGTAAACTTTTTGGAATCAGGGTAAAAAGCTGTGCGGGTGGGCAGGGCAGTGGGTGGCATAGCCTTGTTAGCCTGCTGCTGGCAGATCAGGGGAAATTTGATATTAGGTAAATTTATTTGATTTACATTTTTATAGGGCTCAGGGTGGGTGGGTTGCTTGGCGTGTCTCTGGAGTTTTGCCTGTCCTACGCTTATCGCTTTTAATGCCGGCAATGAAGATAAGAACTTTTCTAGGGTAGGAACAATGCTGTACACACCGACTAGAACAAATACAAAATGAATTAATAATAAATAAAAATGGCAGAGACCAAGCAAATGAGAAAAAAAAAAAGGAAAAAGAATGATAATCATAAGCGACACACGTCGGGCTATCGGTTGGCAATTATTATGCGAGCAAAGTGGCCAAAATGGGGTAGAAGATGTGCAGCAGCAGGGGCAGGGGCCAGAGCGAGTGTCAGTCAATGTGGACTCTGATTGACTGAGAGGACTGAAGGTCTGTGGCAACCAACCACCCACTAAACCACCTCGAGGACGAGAACGTGGGCGATGACGATGACGACAAGGCAATCAGTGCCAAATCAGAACTTTATTTATTTGCTTGTTGTTTGGCAAACATTTACGCCATCAGCAAAACGACACCCAAGAGCCAGAGCTCGTTAAATGCTCAGCCATGCGGATGTAATTCAATAAACGAGCGCGCCATCATCAGGGCCGTACCGTGCCAGAAGCATAGCAGGAGTCGGGGCTGGGTCCGGGTCCGGGCCATCAACACCCAACCGTTTAGCAGGGCTATCCATACAGCTGTATGCATGTGTGTGAGCTCGTGTGTGTGTGTGTGTGAGGCAGCCGCAATTGCCACAACAGCCGCTGTGACTAAATGACTGACTGACAACCGCACTGAAAGAGACTGCTGTGTGTGTGTGTGTGTGTGCTGCAGGGGGATGGTTTATTTACTCACCAAACAACCCCACAGAAGCTTCCCTTTCCCACTCCATCACCACTCTCTCTCTCTCTCTCTCTCTCTGTCTCTCTTTGTCTGTCGCTCCATCTCGTTCGCTTGGTTCATCCTGCGTGCCTTGGCTCAATAACATTTATTGAGTAAATTTCGCACCAGCCTCGTCCTTCGCTCGTTCCCCCCACATTTTCGGCACTGTCAACATGTCAAACGTTTGTTGGCTGGCTGGCTGGTTGGTTGGTTGGTTGGTTGGTTGGTTGTGGGTGGATTCTCTCCGCTTTTTGGCCTGTTTAAGCGATTTAACGCATCGCAGGGATAATGAAATTTTGATTATGCCCCGCTTGGCTGCTTTCCCGGCATGGTGTACACTGTAGTCCTCTGTTGATCTGATTTACACTTTGGAATACACTTTGAGAAAAAAGTAAAATGTGTAGCATCAAGGAAAGTGGGTGGTATATTAATTAAATTAATAATTAATTGCAGTAAACTAATGTAGAAGCATTCCCCCGATAGATCTATAACTATCTATCCTATGATATATATTCAGATCTAACTGTTTTATGGCCAATTTGTTGGCTGGGTAATTGTTCACTCTCGGATACAAACAATTATGCAATTCAATTCCGAATTAATTGCACAATAAAACACCACACAGCAAACGGCAACAAAATTCTCATTTAATTGATGGAAAAAAAAAGTTCCACTCGACCCACATAAATATGCAACACCCACACAGAGTGACAGAGAGAGAGAGAGAGAGAGACCCCCCCCACTCCAGCCCCGCGGACAGCTTCTAAGTGACGGCGCGGCAAATAAAATCAAACACGATTTGGACCGAGAGAAATATAAATTCCGAAAAATTATGAAAAACTATCAAAACATTTACATACAAGCCGCTTTTGGACGCGGCACTGGCACTGGCACTGGCATCGACAGAGGCCCGCAGTCAGAGACACAGCCAGAGCCAGAGCCAAAGCGGCGGCCATTTATCAATTGGCCAAGTTGGTCCAAAGCGTGGACTTGTTGTTGTTGGCCAACTGGCAGCACCGCTGCCGGTGTCGTTTCATCTTTGGTCTGTTGGATGGCGTATAAGAGGGGTAGGCAGACACTCGCTTATGATGCTTATTGAAAAATTAATTTGCGCCTCGTTTTTATATACGTATTTTTTTTCGGCTCTCATTTGCGTATTTCAAAGCGCAATGAATAATGATGATGGTTGGAGGCGGAGGCAGAGGCAGAGCAAAATGAAAGAAACACTCTCGACGTGCTTCGTCTGAGAAATTAATATTTGTAATTGGCTATAATTGTTTGTGCCAACGGGCCAACGGAATTGTGAAAATGAGATGAAGACAATAATATTAATGAGCAGAGGGAGAGGGCCTTCAGCCAGCCATCCATCCATCCATCCAGCTATCCATCCCACCTCCTCTTTATCATCGCATTTGGTTGGCATTTGAAAATGTTTAATTGAAAAGAAAGCGGAATTGTTGGGTCTATTCGTAATATAATGAAGTGCTCAACTGTCCGAGATCTGAAATGTTTTCATTAGTGCACAGATGCGGGGGATGAGGATGAGCCGTGTGGGGTGTGAAAAGGGGGCGCTGGAAATGTTGGTAAAGATAAATACATACATATATCATTTGTTAATTGAGTGGATGGTAAATGTGTGAAGATTATAAATGGGATTATTGAGTGGAGCTTTGAACTAATCTCCGTTTCTGTGAGATCTCTTTTTTTTAAACAATTCGCGCTGCCAGAGATAGCTAAATATTTTTTTTAATTGGCATATTTATATTTATTTTCGCATGGCTAAATTAATTGAAAATGTGTTAATTAATTTCAAACTCCCAAAATGTTCCCTTATTTCTTCCGCCTTTAAATTAATAAAAGATTATATCAAATAATATACAATTTTTAATTTCCATTCCTAAGCTGCCTAATGAGCTCCCAGCATTCGTTCTCCTCCCTCAACTGTTCTAATTGAGCTCTTTATTTGACTCCCACTGCCACTGCCACTCTCTATTGCCATTACAATCCTTTCACCAACTTTCACCCCAGAAAGACTCCGCCAACACACCCACACAGCCCACACAGCCACCTCTCCTCCACCCACTTCCTGCTCCCGCTCATCCCCACCAAAAGCTCCAACAAAAGAGGAGCAGAACAATGGCTGGCAAAACTTTTCAAGCCAACAATTTCACATCATAATCCTTAAAATGAGTTTAATTTGTTGAGTAAAATTATGAGCAGAGTGGGGCAGGAAAACAGTAACGAGCGAAAGAGAGACACAGAGGCAAAGAGAATTGTCAAAGAGAGAGTGGGAGAACCTTGAGGAAATCTTCCATTTTATGCAATTTATGGCGAATCCCATTATAAAGCTTATTTGGGGTCGGGGCCGGGGTGTTTCAAAATTCTACTATATTCTTGCATATTTCACATTTATTTGTATCTGTGCATCTGGGCATTTGTATATGTATATGTGATTGATTTGCCAGAGCCCAGGATGGCTCGATTTATGGTCCCAGATACGATTTTTATGGCTTATCTTTTGAGGTGCGTTGTGCGCACCGAAGGAGCGACATAAAAGGGAAAAGACGAAACCGAGACCAAAAAAAAAAAACATAATTTCCTGACCGAGATTGCAGCTTTGCGATAATGCCGCTACCGCTGCCGTGCCGTGCCGTCGACTTTGACGATGCTCGGCCATGATAATGATGGGCTTATTATTTATTATATTGTTATTTTCGCTAAGGACATTGCTCATACGCCACGGAGTACCAATTAAATTTTGGCTCCCTTTATGGGAGTGGGGTACAGCATCAGCATCAGCAATAGCAATAGCATCCCGGGCCAGACGGAGCGACGACGCCGCCAATTACGTTGACAGGCAGCATTTGCCGAGCAGCAGCATTTACCGAGCACTCAAATGAAGTCATGAATGCCAACAGCAGCCGCAGCTGTGACGCGACAGAACGAGACGGCAGGCATTAGGAAGAAACAAAAACCAAACAGAAAAAACTAAAAAGAAAAGAAAACAACCAAAGAAAAGCCGATCCAGAGTAAAAACAGTGCAAAAAACCAAAGTGGAAATGGACGGACTTGGCCGCTGCTTGTTATAAAATGCTAATACGCGCAGCAACAACTCAGAAAAACATATACGAGTCGAGAGTCGAGTGCCCATTCGTATAGGAAAAATGCTCCAAAGATTGAATTATTCAATAATAATTAGGCGTGCGAGCGGCACAGCTACTGTGCGCCCGCCTATAGCCGTCTCTATCCAAAACTCACCACACTGGAAGCGAGATAGAGTCGAAAAGAAGGCGGCGCAAGCAGAAAAGTGGAGAAATAGCAGCAACAGCAGCAGCGCGAGAAAAAAACGCAAACGCAAGAGAGAGCGGCCGGGCGAGAGAGAGAGGGAGAGCGAGCGAACAGCGAAACAGTTAGGCCAATAAAAATGGTGTCGCTGCTTATGGCGCAGCCAGGGAGAGCAAGCGAGAGCGCGCGAGGGCAGGCAGGCAGCCAGCCGGTTTGAAAAGCCACCACCACCACCAAGGCATAGAGCAGAGCAGAGCAGAGCGCACAGCGCACACAGTGGTTGTGTTGTGCCACAGAGCCACAGTGGAGGCAGCCGCAGAGACGGTCGGTTACTTTTCGAACAGACGTGATCTCAAGAGGACGTGTCTCTCCCGCTTCTCTTTCGCCTGTGCAGATCCAGCGTAGCGTTGTAGCGCGTTCGTGTGTGACGACGTGACGGTGACTCTCTGTGCGTGTAAATAAATGTATCTGAGGTGTATCTGAGGAACGCGCGTGTGATGAACGAGCGAATTAATTAAACGATAATCAAAACAAATTAACCACAACGACGACACATACTCGTACAAAAAGTATCTCTGTGGCCCCGCAAGCATTGCAAGCAATGCCAGAATAAAACAAAAACAAAACCAAAACCAAAACCAATCCATAAGTAAACCCCGAACCGAGTGAACGAACTGCCCCGCATTGAATCCACAGACCCTGAAGGCTTTATGTTAAGGCTTTCCAGCAAGCCAGCGCCAGCGACAGCCCCCACCAGCACAGCGACGAGCATGACAGTGACGGGTCTGCGCCAGACGATGACCAGCCCGACGGTGCCGCCGATCACAGCGCTGGGCAACAGCTCCGGGAGCAGCAGCAGCGGCAGCAGCAGTGGGAGCAACAGTCTGGCCAATTCCCTCACCTCAATGGGCAGCGTCAGTCCCACGGCCCATGCGGCCGGACATCATCCGCTCTCCAGTCCCACATCGCCGTCGGCCCTCCTGCTGGCCCACCAGCAGCATCTCCTGGCCCAGGCACAGCACCAGCATCAACAGCAACAACAACAGCAGCAGCAGCATCACCAACAGCAGCAGCAGCAGCAGCAACAGCAACAGCACCACCAGCAGCAGCAGGCGGCACTCCAGCTGGCTGCAGTGCATCCACCGCATCACCTCCACAAGACCACCTCCCGGCTGAGCAACTTCAGTGTGGCCTCCCTGCTCGCAGACACGCGGCCGCGGACGCCCACCAACCAGGCCAGCGATGCGCCCACGAATCTCTCCAGCTCCGCCGCCACTTCGCCCCTCTCCCAGGGCAGTGCAGCGGGCACTCCGCCACCACAGATGCCGCCGGCGGGACAGCCCACAGCGACGGGTCCGCCACCAACGCATGCCTTCCATCCCGCCGCCGTAGCCCACCACGCCCACTTGCTGCACGCAGCCCATGCGGCAGCAGCCGCCCATGCACAGCACCAGCACCAGCAGGCGGCGGCAGCAGCGGCGATGGCGCAACTGCGTCAGGCACAGGCCCAAGCCGATGCCCGAGCCACATCCCCACCCGCCTCCACCAGCTCCACGCCCAACTCCACGCCGGTGGCATCCGCCGCCTCGGCAGCAGGAGCGGGGACAGCGCACCTGGGCAGCTCCACACCCGCCAAGAACGAGCGGCACTCGCCGCTGGGCAGCCACACGGACTCAGAATTGGAATACGACGAGGACATGCTGCACGAGCACGATGTGGATCACGACGAGGAGGAGGACTCCATTGTGGATATCGAGGACATGAATGCCGATGACTCGCCGCGCTCCACACCCGACGGCCTCGACAGCAGAAAGTCGCTAGAGTCGCCGCACGGCGGCAATCACGGCTCCCATATGCAATCGGCCATCCTCTCGCCGGCGGCTCTGGCCGCCTCCGGTCACGTGCCCATCCGACCGACGCCGTTCAGTGCTCTGGCCGCCGCTGCAGTAGCCTGGGGCGGCATGGGCGCTGGTGTGCCCTGGCCGGGCGCCCGCCAAATGCCGCCCTTTGGGCCGCCGGGCCTGTTTCCGGGCCAAGGATTCGGTGGAGGTAAGTGTCGCCCTATATCAATGTTACTCTCCTGTTGTCTTACGTGTTGTCTTTCATGCTGTGTCTGAATCGGAAATGATAAACATTGGCCGGAAACATTTGCTTAACCGATTCTGTTTACGGTTCTGTTTTTATTGGTCACTTTTTTCCACAATGGATTTACATGCGGGATTCAACTTGTTCCTTTTGCAATACCATTTTGTTGATCGTTCTTAGACCTGGCACCTGTCAACTTTCTTAGCCCGTTGACACTCAACCGCTTGGCAAATGGCAAATGATAAACTTCAGCGGCTATAAATTCGCTTAATTAAGTCTGAAATTCGAAATGTTTCCTTGAACAATATTCCGTATACCATTCAGAGCTAGGAAAATATTCATAACCGATTCAGCTTATGGAGGTATTCACCCCACACCTCTCTCTCTCTCTCTCACTCTATTTCTCTTTGTCTTTGGCTGTGGCTGCTTTATCTGCACCATTTTGTGTCGCATTTTAATTCAATTAACTGCTGCCCCTCGCCTTAATTGGCATCGATGAGGCACGCCGGCGACAATGACTCTCACTCACTCTCTCTCTCTCCAATGCGGGTGCTCCATCATGGCCGCCCATCTGCATCGCCTCCAGCGCCCTCTCCATGTGCACGATCATGACTGCTGGTCTGGCTGGGTCTCGTCCCTCGGCTGTAGTCAAAGTGCGTGCCAATTATTATTGTGATGCTTTAAATAAAACAATGAAATATGCCTGATTGCTTGGCCCATTACTCGCTTCATCATCATCATCCACATCAGCGTCGCGTCGCGTCGCGTCGGTTTTGATTTAACTCAATTGGCTATGTCTGATTATTCATTGGCTGTCGCCTTTTTTTTTCGGTGTTTTCCGGTCTGTGGCAGCCAGCAGCCCCCCAAACCAAAGAAAATCTAATAATAATCGCATAAAAAGTCCGGCTGACTGACGGACTGACTGACGGACTGACTGACCAGACTAATTGAAGCGAGTCTAAGCGATCTGTATCTGCATGCACAGTTCACACTTTGCGCCATGCACTTCCTGGCCAGTGGCCACACTCTCTGGCCCACACAAAAAAGTGTGCACACACCCAAAGAAGTCGCACTTTGATGCGGCTGACGGACATGTGAACTTTACCTAACTCCACTCGACTCGACTCGACTCGACTCTCCCATTCTGGCATCCGCGAACTTTGCGTTTCCGCCTTTTAAAGTTGCCCAACCAAACACCACAGCAAGGCAGCAAAGGCAGCAAAGGAAAAACCAGTGGCAAAAAAAAGTGTAAATTTTGCAGCGTTTTTGCAGCGGCTGCCATTGTACCTGTTTTTGTTGTGGCTGTTGCTTGGACCCTCTCACATTGTTTGTTTATAAAGCTGTCAATGCGGCCGGGCCAGGGCAAGAGTCATTAAAGGGCGTCGTCTAGTGTTTTGCATGCTCCGAAGTTATGGGTAATACGAGGGTTATGCTAATGACTGGCTGCGAAGTGGATTGGAAATTCAATTCTGAAATATATAAATCGATAGGAAATCATGTCAACGCATTGCTGAACACATAAATTAGTTTTGAATCGAAATGAATCAGTCTTAATGTGGGCTCTTCATCATTCACTAGCCGTCATCATCATCGTCTTCCACTGGAGTTCTCTTCGCTCACCGAGAAGAACAAAACTATTCCAAACATTTGCCGCTTATTTTGTCATTTGGCTGTCAACTGCTATACAACTTCATTTCACTTTGTTTCATTTGGCAGCTGTTTTTTTTTTCTGGTTGTTTCCCCCCCCCCCCTGACACTGCCACTGGCACAGTCTCGTCTCTGCCCCTGCCTCAGCAGGTCTCATTAGCGCAGCAGGTTGCCGCTGACTGACTGACTGACTGATGATCCCGATCCCCGATCCCCGATTCGTATACGGATCCCCTTGCCAGTTTTGTGTGTGCCACTGCCACTGCAACTGCCTGTGGCTTGTGCGACCTGTGCCGAGGGCTATCTGCCGCCGCATTATGTCAAGTGTTAGGTACTTAGTGCCTTGCCTGAACGTTTGAAGATGTATGTACATATATGTATCAGGGACTCCGTTTAAAGTCGTATCTGGTATCTGGTATCCGCTACCGTTTGTCGGCCCTTCTCTTTTGGTTAGTAATATTTTTCATGGCCTATTAACGTAAACTGTCTGCGATTAGGATTTTGGAACACACGCATAGCCATTCGGTGGTGTGTGTGTGGCCGCCCATCATCCGCAGCCAAAGGGAAAACTCAATTTTCTCGTGGCTGAAAAGTGAACGAATTCCCCGTGTGCCTTCATAATTTAACTAATTGCAAGCGCAGTCAAGTCACGTACCTTTAGCACCGCGAGCCACCATTCATTGCAGCTGCATTTCTTGGCAGCCATTATTGAAATTAATTTTCAAGCTGAACAAACGAGCAACAACTTGGGAGTCATTGCATAAATACGTGGAGTACATATAAGCCAACACACACACATACACAGTAGCAGCAGAAGCAGAAGCCGAGTGAGTGAGTGAGAGCGAGAAGGAGTAAACCTGGCCAAAACGGTAGGTGTGGCATGTCAGCTACGCCCACCCAAAACACGCAATTTTCAACGGGTTGGCAGCAATTTAAACGTTGACAGACGGCACCGGCTGGACGTGGAGTACGGAGTATGGGTATCTACTGGCAGAGGGGTATTCTGGAGGTTGAGAAGAGCAGTATCTGGCGAGGATTGTGGATGGGCAGGGGAGGGCAAGGGAGGGGCTGTTGCATGCGTTTTAACACCATTTGCAAGGCTCCAGCGAAGACGGCGAACGGCAGTCAAAAGCTAAAATAATATTTGCATTCTGCACGCCATCTAACGTGCATAAGCTGTACTAAATACACATCCACACAACGTTGCATGCAACACACACAAACACACACACACACATAGGATGGGATGGGGAAGGGGAACGGGTAGCTGTGGCTGGCGCAGACATTTTGATGTATGTTTTGGCAAATAAAATTTATTTGCATTAAATTACCAAGTCAGGGAGGGACTTGGAGGAAGCCAGACAAAGGCAGCAGCAGCCAGCAGCCCAAGGAGGTGATGCGGTGGTATGGGGGCAGGTAGGGAAGAGCCCACTGCATACGAGTACTATATGCATATATTTAGGCCCCCGCAAGGCTGAGCAATACATGCGAGACAACGGCAAACATTTGCTAAATATTTGTAGACAATTGGCAGTGCCACTAATTTGAGCTGCTGCTCCTCGCACTCGTATTCGTGAGTACTCGTAGCTGTGGTTGTTGCTCAGCAGCTGAGTAATTAAACAGCATTTGGAACCTGTCATACTATACTAAATATGTATGTATATACATATGTGGACAGTGGCAGGCGCATGCGTGTGTGCCACAGCCCAACCCACGTGGTTGGAGTGCTACTACTATCTCCGGGGCTTGCGCTTATCTTGCCCGGAGGCAGCCAGAGCCGATTGCAATGTGAACTTCATTGCGAAAACCACAGTGGCGGCACATGCACATGCAATATGACAACATTTGTGAGGCATATGCAGGCAGCTCCTGCCTGTGGGCAGTGCACAGAACAGAACAGAACCGAAGTGGACTACTTAGAGTTATCTAAGCCAACTGGTTATTGGACGCGCACTTCACTAATTAATTGACTTGTCCGGCAAGTGTTTGGCCCTATATATGCATGTGTAAAAGGATCGATTCCCCCGTCCCTAGAGGGGGCAGCCTAATCAGACGATCCCTGGCTGGAGATAATCATTCATTTATCTGGTAAAACACAAACAAGTGTGCGCTGCGCCGCTCTCTTTTGCACCTTTTACACATTTGGTGCTAATTAAAATCCTTCATTATGAAATCAGCCAGAGGCAGAGCAGAGCCAGCGCGGGACGGACACGAAGGCCTCCTTAGAGCATTCGAGTAGCTGTTGCCGTTTGACCGTAAGCGTGTAATTGCATTAGCCAAACGATCGAACCAGCGCCTCAATCGATCTGCGGCGATCCGGCCCAACCAAAGATCTGCCTTTATTTTTGCTGTTTTCTTTGTATTGCAAAAGCGATTTTCACTGCAAAAACGTTGTCCAACTGAAGTTGCTATGCGAAAACGCTTTAATGAAGAATTAATTGCCAGCAATTTGCACCGCAAATCAATCGAGCGTTGTCACCCGACGGCTATATAGAGACACGGCCCAGTCACTCTATGGGGACAAGATTGGTTTGGGCATACGGTTTTGGTCTACGTCTACGTCTCTGTCTCTGTCTCCCTCACCGTCTCGGTATTGGTATTACTTTGGTATTGCCAACGCCAAACGATACGCGTAAATTTCACAATTGCTTGTTGCCTGTCTCATTTGCTGTTGCTGTTTGTTGCTGTTTGTTGCTGTTGGTATCGAGTCTTATACGTTGTCTCGTCTACAATACACCGGAGAACTCAAATTAATTGAAAATCCATTACAAACATAGGCTAAATGTCACAATTGGCGTTTGTGGCATGTATTTGCACTGGCAATGGCGATGCTGGCGACGTATTGCCCCAGCAGCAACAGCAGCAGCCAGAGCAGCAGCAGCAGCAGCAGCAGATACAATGCCTATAAAAGAGCAAAAAGGCGAAAACGAGTCTCGCACTCGGGTTTGGACGTGCGTGGACTTATCCGCTGTCTCGCTCTATCCCTCTCTCTGCCCACTATCTGTATCTCTTTTTGTCTTGGATTGTTGCAGGTTTTGTAATAGGCCTTTAGGAGGGGAGTCGTGTGGGGGAATGGACTGCGGATTGGACTGTGAAACGGGTGTTTGGGGGTCTGGGGGCCATGCAGCTCACTTGCTACAGTTTCTGGCAGGCAGCAGCCAGCAGCCAGCAGCCAGCAAGTTGCAACTGCAATGGAAACCCCATTCCAGCAATTTAGCGACAAATGAGCAATTAATTTTGAAAATAAATGCAAAAGGAGTCTAGAGACAAAAAAGTTGTTAAAATTTAATGAAAAACGAAACCGAAATGAGAACTTAAGTGAAAACTCATGCTCAAAATTAGCCAAATTAAATGCAGATGAATAAATTGTATACAAACATGTTGCAGAGAGTGAAACAAAACGGAGAAGATGCTAAACCAATTATACATATCGTACGTAATGGAGCAAAAGCAGGCGAAGATTGAAGGAGGTTTTATGCTCTGAAATGCTGAAAGAATAAATGGCATATTATCATGTGATGCAACGACTGCCAACAATGATGATGCCCAATAATCCACGGATGATGCCCAATAATCACCACGAGAGTCAGCCACAAAATATTGTATAAATATTATTGTAATGTAAAATCATAAAATCAAAATCGAATGCAGAGACAACGAACAAAAAAGAGCTGTAAAAGTTGTCCGTATCGTTTATATGCTAATTTAGCAGCTAATTTATGGTCAATACAACAAGAGCGACAACAAAATACCAAACAAAACTCAAAACTCAAAACAAGCCCCAGACTTCACACAGAATGCAGCCAAAAGCAAAAAGCTGGCTTCAGGAAGAGGAGAAGATATACAAAATATATATTTATTGTATATTTATAGAGGCCAAACCGGAGCGCGTCTGCGAGTCTGTAACAAATTTCTGAATGCTGCCGCATGAATATGAGTGTGTGGTGTGTGTGTGTGTGTGTGGTGTGTGTGTGTGGTGTGTGTGTGTGCTTGTGGCCTCTTCATTATGGGAATCGGAATCAGTTGGTGGCTTTATCGGAGTGTTCACATTTCGTTTCACCTTGTTAGGCCATACGGAATGCTTTTACGACCTGCATACAGAGACTGAAAAGCAGAAAAGCTGAAAAACTGAAACACACAAATAAGTGAAATTATATGCATATCACTGACAGATAAGGCCTGGCCTGGCCCATCGCAGCTGATCGGACATTAACATAACTCTGACATGTCACACTAATTACTTAATGAGCCGATCGCCTGCAGTCGTCCCCCGTGCCCCGTGCCCCGTCCCACCATTGCAGTTTCAGTTCCAGTTCCATAATGAAGCCACATGATTATTAGTTTTTAGTTTTGATTCGGTCTGAGTTGGGCTCTCCCACTGTAAGCTGCATTTTTATGGTCTTATGACGGGCTGGACATTTATTTGTCTGTCGATAACATAACGTGCCAGCAAATGCGTGTGAACACATCATGTTTTGGGGTCTTGGGAATGCCCAGAATATGGACGAATATTCGTACTGCTGCTATATTGATGACGACTCCGCCCTTTGTTATTGTGTTATTGTTGCATGCCCCATTTCCCCAGATGCAGGGCATAAAAAGCAATTACAAAGGCATGCTCTCCCCCAGCTCCCCTGTGCACATCTCTGGCCGCCATCTGTTGGCATCTTGGCCACGTTTGTCACTCGACAATTTCAATTTGTGTAATTATGCGCAAAATTAAAGCGTTGCATATCATTTGCATTTGTCTTTATTTTGATTCCTGCCACTGCCACAGCCACTGCCAGTGGCATTGCTACTGCGGAGATGTCTTCCTCGAGGCTGTGCCTCGAAACAAAATGCTCAATAAATTACGCGTGCCTCAAACGGAGAGGGGATCTGACCCGGACTGACTGCATCTTTAAAATGCCATTTGCATCTTTGTGGTTTGGCGCAGCCTCATGGCAGGCTCATTACTTTCATTAACAACACTCCAGGCAAATGCCAGAGCTGGGGTATGGGGCATGGGAGCATGGGGCATGAGGCAGGGAACAGCTGCTGCTGCTGCCTCTGCTGCTACTGCTGCTGCAGTCTTTATAAGGATTGCACGTTTCTTTCTGTTGCTGTTTGCTGTTGCCTCTGTCTCTTGCTCTTGCTCTTGCTCTGTGCCTTTGTTTGCCAAAACAAAATGCCCAAATTAAAATTGTTTTGCTGTTGCAAGAATCGAACAGAGACAGAGAAACAGCACAGAGAGTGAGAGAGAGACAGAGCGAGAGCGAGAGCGAGAGAATCAAGTGGGGCATGCTGTATGGGGACCACTCGGGGAATGCATTTCCCGTCGCTCTGGCTGCGGCTGCTGCGGCTGCTGCGGCTGCTGCTTTGTCTGACAAATAGTTTAGACAGCAAATTTATTGGCCACTTAAAGGAGTAATTACCGTATATTGTTGTTGCCGTCGCTGCTGTCTTGGCCGCTTTTAGCCGTGACAAGGCCAAGGACAGAGACAGCAGCCAGCAGCCAGAAGCAACAACAAAAGCCAATCGTTGACAGCATTTCATTCAGAATTCAGCATGCAGCACTCGGCATTTACGTTGCATGCAAATTGTGCGCCTCTAATTGGACAAATCTAAGCAATCAACTAATCAACACCTTCTCCTCTCTTCTCTCTTCTCCCTCCAGATGCCAATGAACCGCCTAGGATCAAGTGCAATCTCCGCAAGCACAAACCCAACCGGAAGCCTCGCACTCCATTCACCACACAGCAGCTGCTCTCGCTGGAGAAGAAGTTCCGGGAGAAGCAGTACCTGAGCATTGCCGAGCGGGCGGAGTTCTCCTCCTCGCTGCGGCTCACCGAGACCCAGGTGAAGATCTGGTTCCAGAACCGTCGGGCCAAGGCAAAGCGTCTGCAGGAGGCTGAGATCGAGAAGATCAAGATGGCTGCCCTGGGCAGGGGAGCGCCCGGCGCCCAGTGGGCCATGGCCGGCTACTTCCATCCCAGTCTGATGCACTTGGGATAAGTGGCGGCCCAGTTGGTGTGCGTCCCTGGTCGCCACCAACGCGCCCCGAGCCATAGTCCTACCCCGAGCAGGCACTCCGATAACCAAATAGCTGAGCCACGTCCCGCTGGAACAGGACCAGGTACAGGCATAGGCACAGGCACAGGAACTGGAACTGAAGCTGCAGCCGGCACAGGCTCATCCTGAGCCAGAGACGTGCGGAAAACCCCCAAAATTTTGCTGTGATGTTAGCGCATTTTATGTTACGATACTTCCAAATGTTGTTTCAAATGCACCCTGTAAATACTATAAGTGGGAGTTCGAGAGAGAGAGCCCGAGAGAGAGAGCTAGAGAGCGAGAGCGAGAGGAGAGATCTAAAGAGATAGTAGTTATAGCGAGCTGGTTCCATATCCAATCGAACATTTGTATATATCAAGGCGAAAGCAAGCAGAGATATGTTTCCTAATTGTACATAAATCTTAGCACGTAAATGCAATCATTGAAATTTCGTTAATTCGTTAAAGAAAAAAGCCACAAAATTAATTAACAGACACACACAATTAATTTATTTGCAAAACTCAAGTCAATAAGCATTAAACAAGAGAAGAAGAGACAAGAAGAAACGGCATCAACTAAAAAAATGATATTTGATTATATTGTATGTAATTTGTAATTTGCAGCGTAAGTCAGTCTAGCAAAAGAATCGGATGGATCGTATGTATGTATTTAAAAAATACCTGTAAGCATCTACACTAAACTACACTACACTACACTAATCTAAAGCTCTAAACTATGCCGTTAAATATACATTAAATATACCTAATACCACAGACCTATACACATAGTTCATAAATGCATAATATTATATTAATACCATATAGCGTTAATCCTCTGTAGTTGTTTAAACATGAATCATAAAAACTAAAAAGCAAAAAACCTAAAAAAACAAAAAAAATAAAAAAAAATGTCAAAAAAAGGAAATACAAAAAACACACAAGAAGTGCAGAAGAAGAAGAATCATACAAAAAATCATTGAAAAAATATATAATTATACAGAAAATTTAACACAAAACTTGGTTTTAATTTAGTTGAAAATGCTGGCGTGGAAAATCTATTGCTATGGGCTGGAAAAGCAGTGGAAAGTAAATGACTGCACTGATAGTGATGTTCCTTTGTTTCCTTGTCTAACTTTCCCCATAATGCAAGCGAAATCTTTCTTAATGCGGAATTATGGAAAGCATTGAAGGTATTTCATTCATTCATTTTGCTGCTAGACAACTAAATTGCTTTGATTAAAGTGTGAAGTTTGCCACATAGCTGAATGATTGTGTAACAGCGATTGCTTAATTGCAAAACCATGCTAAACTATAATATGAGGTGTTGAGCTGAACCTGAGAGTCTCTCCGCTACAAGTTAAGAAGGGAAAAACAGTGGCGTTGTTTTACATCAACATTTAGTGCTGTGTGCAATTGGAGTAGGATATCATTTGACCAGCCAATTAACTACATTTGTAGGTCCTGCCATTGTCCTTCAACTGTATTAAGTTGGCATCCAGTCGTCTGCCAGTGGCACTTCACGCTTTTCTTGCGTATTATTTTCATCAAATGTTTCTGGAACGATCAGAGAGAGAGAGAGAGAGAGATCGTGTTGGATTGAGTTCAGACTGTGGCCAACAGAAGCGACAGAGCATTCTTATCAGCATGCAATTAATATTTAATTAATCAGGCAAGCGGTTGCTGTGGCACGGGGACGGGGAGCATCTGTGGCCCACATGGCGTATACTTATTGATGTCTCACTGTCGTAGCTCTCTTCCATCGCCGAGCGGAGGTTAGGCGTGCCATCGTCGAATTAAGATTAAAAATTGAATGATTATCAAATGGTTTGCGGTATAATTTTTATTCCTACGCGATTTGTCGAGTGTCAGGCCGGGTTCAATAACGAATCTGAATTCCATTTATTCCCTCATTTGTTATTGAAAATTGGCCGAGCGTCAGTGGTAGCCGAGTGCTGCTGCTGCTGCTGCTGTTGTTGTCGTTGTCGTTTGCTCTGCCTCTTATCGCATTGAATTAAAACCCAATTAATTTAATTACAAATGGAAATAACACGACGTCGGCAGCAGTCGCAGCAGCAATCGGAACGTCGCGACGCTAGCAACACGTCAAATAATTTTGTTATTTTGATTTATATACCAAGTGTATCTCTGTGTGTGTTTCTGTGTGTGTGCAAGTGCGTGTGTGCTCAATAAATAAATTAAAATATTATTTGCCAGTTCTGTAGCTGATAAGCAACAAAAAATTCCACGAATTCAGCATCGTTTGGTGTGAACAAATATTTGTTCAAATTGTTTTAGTTTTGCTTCTTCTTTTTTTTTAAGTTTTTCCCCTGGTTGATTGTGGATGATTAAATAAAAATATATAACATAAGTAGGAAAAGATGGGAAAACAAAAATCATTTGTTACTATTTAAATTGAAGAGCGAAGCAACGCAGTCAACAGACGAATTTAAAACTAATCTAAGCTAATAATTACAAGAAATGTTTCAGCCACAAATGTTTCAATGAATTTAGCTAATTCTTTACGTGATATTTATAGAAATATTGCAGTTTTTTTTAATAATATTTCCATTACTAAATCAAAGCTGATTGAACCATCGGCTCTGTCTGAATGTCAGAGCTTAATCAGCTGCAAAAGCTAGGTCAATGTCGGGGCACACAAGCAGATGTTTACAAATCGCATCTGAATCATTTTTGTGTGTTCTGGAACTCATTCTGATTAGACTATGGACCCATACATATATTTATTATATTACATTGTCAAACACCAGGAAGTAAATTTCAGCATCATTGTAAGTTAAATGTGAGCCTGTCATATTAAATACTCATTAAACTCGCCTCTCCATATATCTAAGCATCGTTAAACCTCGTTTCTCAAGAATCAACCACAGGGGGGCACAGAATCACCTGCTAACAATTTATACGATTTGCATACAATTTGTTAACAATTAAAATGCAATCGCTGGATGTTTTATTGGGTAGAAATAAAATAATTAAATTAATTATGCATTTATTATTCATCAAACACAATGCTGATAAATGCGTTCGCCAATGAATGCAAAATTGTCTACAGCAGGCCGCGAGTTTTTATCTCGAATGTCAGATCGATTGTCGCCGCAATTAATTAAGCGTATATAATTACAATGCCCTGCCTACGCTGACGCTGACGCCAACGCCAACGACTGACCGCCCAGTCCATGGCTCCTAGTGGGGATCGGGAATGGTCCGGATCGACAGAGGTCTGGGGTCCGTCCCAGCGTCTGTTTATTAATTAGGCCCGGCTACGCCTTCAGGTAGCCGCAGGTGGTGCTGCATGCAAAACGCACCACACCACACCACACCAAGCCAGAGCGCGTCGCTCCGCATCGCATCGGAAAGTGCAACGCGTTAATCAAAACGTAATCAAATCATTTGGCAAGCAGCAAAATAGCCTGCAACCTAAACTGAACCTCAAATCCCCCTGCAGCACCATCATCCCATCGGCAGCATAATCATCAGAGGCCTGGTCACATTGGTCGCCTGCTGCGCCCTGGCCGGGTCCAGCAATTAAGCTTCATATCTGGCCTAATGGACCGAGCGCCGCCTGCGCTGATTGCGGGCATTTGTTTGGCGTCGTCTCTGTTCCAGTCTCAGTCGCAGTCCCGCTCCCAGTCCCGCACTCCCTGTCGCTCAGTCTCTCGCTCAGCGCCCAATCAAATGTGTAGCCCCCATTGGACGCAATCTCAGTGCCAGTATCCATATCGACTGGGAGCCCCGGCTGCCCCACCTCCCAGGTCACAGCTTGATATTAACGCCCAACTGTGAGGCGGCGCATTTACAATGATAATATTTGTGTTCAAAGTTATCAATGGGCCAGCCGCCGATGACGACGACTACGACGACGACTTGCGGTGAATGTGAATGGGAATCGAGGGATGTCGAATCGTCGCAGACGCCGATCCAAGCCGTGCCGAGCCGAGCAGAGCAGCGCAGAGCAGTTATGATGTGCCTACAAGCTGATTTTGGTTGTTTTCTGCTAAATTGATTAAGTCGTTCGGATTCAGACAACTGTTAGATAGGGAGAACATCGTGTACACATCGTACTCGTACATTCTTGATAAGGAGAAGAACTTCCATCATAGACAGACACTCGCCACAATCCCATGTGGCGGAGTGGCGGAGTGGCGGAGTGCAAAGCCAAGCATAACATTTTTTAATTAACTCACTCACTCTCACACTCACACTGAACACACATGCAAATGAGCTCATTATGGGATGATTATGCAAGATATACTCGTACTCGTATTCCGTATTCCGTAGTGCTACACAAAGTTCCCCCCAACTCCCAGCCCAGACAGTAGTTTTTCCAGACCAACACCAACATCAACAACATCAACATCATCTATCCACTGACAGCAAGTTCAACAAACGTAAATTGCTCATATGAAAATATCTGTGTTTCATTCACATCAGATCTGTGTTTATGTATGGACGGGTATACGCGTACATATAGTGAGGATTCATTCATAAAGTCAAGCGAATTGGAAATCCGTTTGCTTAACCCGCTTTCTGTCTATGCTCGGCCAGAGATCGTCTGCCCCCAAAAAAAAAAAATATATCTTTATATTCAGAAATACTCCACTCCTTCGCTGAATCGCTCTAAAGTTGGGCAGACGGCATGGCGTGGATGGTGTATGGATGGATAGCCCGGCCATTAACTCGTATGGAGAGCACTCCGCAATTACCGCGAATAAATTGAGGTAATTAGGTAATAAAAATAATGTTTTCACCTCGTTATAAGTATGGGGTAGCAGCTGCTCTCTGTAATTCTCGGAATTTCCAACCACCTGATAGCAAGGAACAGGTAAGCATGTGGAGCGATTGGGCGAATATGAAGCGAACTCTAAGTTAATTCAAAGTAAATTCCCAATTAAATATTGCATCTCTCCATTTTGGAGTACCGAATAATTTCCCAATCCCTGACAAATGCTTTCTCAAAACGTAATTTTTCCTGTCTCATTTTATGCAAATGTTTTGGGTTTCCCTGGAATTACCTGGCCGTCAATTAAATTGGCTCTCTGTGCGCCTTCTCCTTCTCCATCCATCGCACTTT